CCATCACTGTGGCCAGGAGCTCTGCATGCTCCAGACTGACCCAGCCTGAGGCTGCCTGCTGGGCTGACCACTGGTCCACTGATATCCCACGGCGGGGTTGTCCCCAGACCCTCCCCCACCTGGCAGCCAGGACAGAGCCCGCGGGACCCAGGGCTGAGCCCCCAAGCCCGACATTAGCTGGTTCTCCTCAGCTGGGCGGGGCCGGGCTGCAGCCAGGCAGTAGCTGGCTGTGTCCAGTCTCTGTGCCCGACCTGCAGCCCGACCTGAAGCTACGTAGAGCCCCCTCCCCGGCCGGGAGTGCCTTCCAGGGGCCCAAGGCTCAGGAGTGCTCACTCAACGAGGCAGAGTGTCCTGTCTGGAGCACACATGCTCCACAGTGGGACCAGGGTTGGTGAGCTCCCGACCCCTGGGTCTGCCAGGGGGGCCACCACCCACAACCCTGGCCTCTAAGAGTCTCATGGTGACAATTGTGACTGCTGGAAAGCCAACGCCCAGGTTTACTCACTTCCTTCAAATACCACCTGGCCCTAGAAGAAAACTCCATCTCATTCCAAAGAGAAACCAGAGCCTCCTCTTAAGGAAACTTTGAAGTCAGTGGCTGCAAAGTGATGGCAGACAGGGTCCAGGGCCAGGCTCGGGCAGCCGCTGTGTCAGGGCCGGGTTGGGCCTGGCTGGTTCCATCCAGCCTTTGGTTCCATCCAGCCTCTGGTTCCACCGCCAGATCCTCTGCACCCCACATACTCCAACCTTGTGCAAAGTGGCTGGAATCTGCCTGCCCCCGCAACCCCTGGCTGAGTGAACCGCGAGCATGGGCACCCTAGCCCCAGCCAAGCTTCAGTGTGGACGGAGCGCCAGCCCCAGGCGAGGGCCCTTCCCAAGTCCAAAAGGGCAAACTGCTTGTCAAGAACCTTCTGGGCTCATAAAACATCATCCAGCCGTGAGTAAATAGCAAGTAAGAGAACACCCAGAGCAGGCTCCACGCAGCTGAGTTATCGACACAGCACGACCAGCGTGGGCCCTGCAGTGTGACGCCTGCCAAGCCAGCGTGGAAGGCAGAGCTGTCCAGGTGTCCTCGCTCCCTTCCTGGCATGTGCCCAGGAGCAGGGGTCGGGGGGGGGCTGTAAGGAGGTGTGAAGGGTCAGTGAGATGTCCTGAGGGCCTCCTCCTCCACTGGGGAGACGGCATCTCGCTGCCGGGAAGGAGGTCTCTGGCCTGAATTTGTCAAAATAAGGGTCCACAGGGCCCGGCTCCCATGGAAGATGAGGCTTGTCCTGAGGTGAGAAGAAGGGGGCCATGGTGCCTGGGGGTAGGGGAGCAGCTCTCCCAGCCCAGCCCCCCATCACTCAGCCACCGAGCCCTGCCTGCGCCCTGAAATGCAGCCGGGACCATGACTCCTCCAGCTCCTGGAATCTGACCGCAAGGTCTAGATCTTCCCAGGAAAAAAACAGGGCAGAAGCAGCCACCTGGGGGCGGAGCAACCAGGCTCAGCCCAGTGTCTGCCAAACCTCGCCAGGTGGCCTGGGGCAAGGCTGCAGCCGACTCAACTGGGAAGGCCTCTGGTGGGGAGGGGGGAGCCTGCATCCCTGGTCTCCAGGACTCACTGGAACCATGAGGTCCTGCCGTCGAGGGGCTCAGGGCCCCAGGGGAGCTGGGATGGGGCCTTAAGGGGCTGGAGGAGCAGAGGCTTCTGGCTTCAGGCTGGAAGGTTCTGCTGGCAGTTCTGGTGCGTCACACACGCCAGGAAGGGGCAAGCGGGGAGAACGCCCGAAGGGCCTTTACCTGCCGGCCGGGTGAGGACCACACCCTGGCTGGGCTAGACTTCCAGGCAGAGCAGGTATGATCAGCAAGCTTTGTGTGGTTTCAGCCACGACTCTGCTGCCCTGCTGGGCGGGTTGTGTTTGCACGCTGTCTGCCCCAGGAGCTTCTCTGGCTCCAGAGACTGGGGTTGCCGGACGGGTTCCGGCCCACTTCCTGTGGGGCCTGAGCCTTCCTGCTGGTTCCGGTAGGGGCAGGCCCTGTGAAGCCCTCCTTCCAAAGCTCAGGCCCTCAACCTCTCCCCACTCTGAAACCACTCTTTTCTCTTTGGGCCATTTTGCGATACAAGCAGGAAGGAGAGAGGAGGATGAAGACATGGAAGGTCACAGGGAGGCCTCTTAGCCACGGGCAAGTCCAAATCCCACGCCCCCAGCAGTGCCGTGGCCGGACACACAACCTCGTACGTGCACGTGTGTGTGCGTGCGTGCGTGAACAACCAGAAGACACTGGCCTGAGTGGCACCTGCAGTGGGGCTGTCCAGAGGCCACCAGTGCCGCCCCCACGCCAGTCCCAGAGAGAGGCCGGACCCCCGTCGAGATTCACATGTGTTCAGCCTCCCCACGCGGCCCTCGGCCCCCAGCCAGTGGAGAAACCACGTGGCCCGGTGTGGGCACCAGGCTCCTCACGGCAGGGCTCTCTGTCACCTACGCCCTGGGACAAGGCCAACCTCCACCCACCTCGATCCCCCAGTGCAGTCAGGGCTGGGCCAGGGCCACCGGCAGGGGACACAGCACACCCACTCGGGCCACTCAGAGGAGAGGCCCGGCGCACAGTAAGGACGCCTCAGTGTCCCCGTCCAGCTCCTGTCTGGTGCAGACATGGGCCACGATGACCTTCAGACCTAGTGTGGCCGGCTCGCAGAGGTGGCCAGAGGGGTGGAGAGCTCCAGGGGGCAGGCAGGCCACCCTAGAGGGGGAAATTGGGTGCTTCCCCAGGGGGTTGGAGGGTTGGAATGCTGGCCTGATCCCCAGGGTGCCAAAGTGCTGAGGTTGCTCACTGGCCCCAAGCCAGCTACAGGGCCTGCCGTGAGCTCCAAGCAAGTGCCACGCAGGCCTCGTGCACCAAGACTGCCATCTGCAGGGAGAAGGCGGCCGTGCAGGAGCCCCGCTGTCCACCAGAAAGGCACCCGGATGGATGTGAGCAGAGAGGGGAGCCAGGACCCTCTAGTAGCCGTGTCGCCAAGAATGAGAACAAGCAGGTGAAATTAACATAAGACATCGGGATTGCAACACACGATCAGTATGAAACATTACGAATGGGCCTTTTCACATTCTTCTCCCAGTGAGTCCTTGAATTCTCGTGTACGCCCACTTTTAACCCACCTTCATCTCCAGGGCTCCCTGGCACCTGCGGCTCGTGGCCACTGCATTAGACAGCGAGGCACTGGAGAGTGGAGACACCACAAAACGTGGCTCGAGAAGAAGGCAGGTGGCGAAATAATACAATCCTGGTTTTGTAAAATATCCAGATGTTACCAGAATATCCGTATGTCATCAATTAGGCCGACTGCTGACCACTTTCTCTCTCCAGGAGACGGGACGACAGGGGCCTCAGAAAAGTGCCGACCCCAGTGGTGTGAGGTGGGACACAGCCGCCCGCATGCCCACCGGCCCACTGGTGGGCTTCCTGACCACACGTGTGGACCTTCCTCAGGGACTGAGTGATCTAGGGGCACATGTGGGGCCTGGGACAAAGGCAAGACCTTCTCGGTCACAGAGGCACAGCTCAGGGTGGCCAGAAGACCCCAACCGTGGCTGTACTTAATCCCAGTAGACATGTTTTTCTAAGAAATCAGAAATAGCCCAGTACAAAAAAAAAAAAAAAAACACGACATGGTTCTCAGTCTTCACCCCGCTCTGAGCCTCAGTACCATGTTCTCAGCAAGGAGGCCCCGCTCTTGTGCCCAGGCTCACAGGGGCTCCCTGGGCCGGCCCGGCTCCGGACAGGGTAGCACCACGGACCCGGCACCGCCATCCAGCAGAGCATCAGGGCGCCGAGTCCTCCTGCCCAGCAGCTCGGAGGGGGGGGACAGGGGACCGCGGGGCTCCAGGCTGGCCTCTGGGAGAGAATGTGGACAAGGCTTGGAGTCGGACACACGCTGGACATAGCCAAGGAGACCCAGGAAATCCTGGAAACCCTCGTTTGAGGACGTGGGGGAGAAAGGAGGTCCAAGTTTCAAGGCATGCTGGGCTTCAGGGGGCCTCTGACACCCTGGGAGGGCCAGGAAGAGGCTGGAAGGGACTTCTTGGCCCCAGACCCCCAGGGACGCTGAGACTTGCTCACTCACCTGGTGTCCGCCCACCCGTCCCAAACCCAAAGGCCCCCTGGGTCTCTCACACAGGAAATGGGCCTCAGAGTGAGGGTTAGGCCCTCGAATCAACTCCTCTGACCCGGTCTAAGCAGATCGCTCAGAGCTGATGTAGTCCATCGCCGCCACCCCCACCCCACATCCAAATACCCAAGGCAGCCACGTTTTAAGTAAGTCTCTGCAGCATCCACAAAACGGTACACCCTCTGAATGGCCACAGTCAAAACCACCTAGAGTCAGGCAGAACGACACTCTGATGTCTGAGATGGTCTAGAGAGCCACACCTGGACACCGCAGGGCACCTCCACACAGAGCAAGTGCCCAGATCCCGGCAGGCGTCCGACAGCGACCCGTGTGAGGCCAGGCTGACTTCCCGTCAGAGAAGAGACTCTGGAGACGGAGGCTCAGCTCCCAAGTGTCCCTGACTCATCCCTGACAACACACCTGTCATCTTTAGGTGAGAGAGACAGACAGGTGGAGGAAAAGGATGGGCAGTGACCAGAGGAGTCGATCACCCCGCAGCTGTAACCTCCGGGCAGACTGACCCATCTGCCATGCGGCCAAGAGGCACGAGGCCCAGGCTCTGCGGGCAGCGGGCTTGGTGGCCGGCCAGAGCCTTTAGTGCATGGTCTCCGCACGGCACCCTTCTCCAACCCCCAGTCTGAAACTCAGACCCCGTATCGAAAGCTGCTTTCCCCACCGCTCTCTGCTACTAACACGCACCCAGGCCTGTCCAGGGGGCAGTTAACAAAAAGTCATCTGCTCTTCCATCTGGAAGGAGGAATGCCCTTTATTTCGGAGAAGAAAAACGATACCCTGGAATCCACGAGGCAGGCAGGCCGGCAGGGGCAGGCTCCCACTGTTCAGGGGCGCTTACCTGAACTTCCCGGTCCGCACCTGCAGAGCTCTCATCCCGTACCGCTGGGCACCGCCCACGTCGCCCACGATGTCGTCCCCGATCATGATGGCCTGTGGGGCAGATGGCGAAAGGCGCAGAGAAGCGGTGTCAGGACGGCTTTCTTCCTGCACTCCCTCATCGTTTCTGACATCGTAAACCTCTTGATTTGATGTTTCAAACCACCATCGTACACATTAAACAAGGTAACACTGTCGTCATATTGACTAAAAGTCAACCCGCTTGAATATATCTCCCACTGCCCACCATGGGCTGCAGCTCTGAATGGTGCGTGTTTGGGCAATGTAAAATCAACCGACAGGTATCAAAGTGATACGAGGTGGGCTTCCCTGGTGGCTGAACGGTAAAGGATCCGCCTGCCAATGCAGGGCACACAGGTTCAATCCCAGATCTGGGAACATCCCTCACGCCAAGGAGCAACTAAGCCCGTGCCCCGCAACTACTGAGCCTGGGCGTGAGCGCTGAGGGGTCACAACTACTGGAGCCCTAGAGGCCTGGAGCCCGCGTCCACAACAAGAGAAGCCACCACAATGAGAAGCCCACCCTCCGCAACCAGAGAGCAGCCCCTGCTCCCCACAACTAGGGACAAGCCCGCGCAGCAATGAAGACCCAGCACAGCCAGAAATAAACAAACAGGCGCCACAGGGACACATGGGGGGTTGAAACTCTCACCTCTGCTCGAATACAGGCTGAATTTTACCGTCAGCCTAAAACTCTATGGAAACAGTGGCTGACTTTATTTCTTGGGGCTCCAAAATCACTGCAAATGGTGATTGCAGCTATGAAATTAAAAGATGCTTACTCCTTGGAAGGAAAGTTATGACCAACCTAGACATATTAAAAAGTAGAGACACTACTTTGTCAACAAAGGTCTGTCTAGTCAAGGCCATGGTTTTTCCAGCAGTCATGTATGAATGTGAGAGTTGCACTATAAAGAAAGCTGAGCGCCGAAGAATTGATGCTTTTGAACTGTGGTATTGCAGAAGACTCCTGAGAGTCCCTTGGACTGCAAGGAGATCCAACCCTAAAGCAGTCCATCCTAAAGGAAATCAGTCCTGGGTGTTCATTGGAAGGACTGATGTTGAAGCTGAAACTCCAATATTTTGGCTACCTAATGAGAAGAGCTGACTCTTTTGAAAAGACCCTAATGTTGGGAAAGATTGAAGGCAGGAGGAGAAGGGGACGACAGAGGATGAGAATGGTTAGATGGCATCACCGACTCAATGGACATAAGATTGGGTCAACTCCGGGAGTTGGTGATGGACAGGGAGGCCTGGCGTGCTGCAGTTCACGGGGTCGCAAAGAGTCAGATACGACTGAGCGACTGAACTGATACTGAAAAACTCTGTAGAGCTTCCCTTGGGGCTCAGCTGGTAAAGAATCCTCCTGCAATGCAGGAGATAGCCAGGGGCTCGATCCCTGGGTTGGGAAGATCCCCTGGAGGAGGGAAAGGCTACCCAGTCCAGTATTCTCGCCTGGAGAATTCCATGGACAGGGGAGCCTGGTGGGCTACAGTCTGTGGGGTCACAAAAATCTGACATGACTGAAACGACTTAGCACACACACAAAAATATCCAGCACTCAAAAAGGTAAAATTTAATAAAAATAAATCCCATCCAATTAAAAGAACGATCAGACATGCAAAGATGGCAAAAAATCACACACAATGAAGAGGAAAATCAACCAAAACTGAACTGGAACTGACCCAGATGTAAGAATTAGCAGACAAGGGCATTGAAGCAGTTGTTATAACTGTATTCCATATGTTCCCAAGGTTAAATAGAGACAAATATCCAAATCATGCTTCTAGAAGGGAAAACTACAATGTCTGCAATGAAACGCAAAAACACTCGAAGAGATTAAACCCAGGTAAGAAAATGAGGAAAAATAGATTAATGAACTTGAAGACACAGCAATAGAAACGATCTCAAATGAAACACAGAGAGGGAAAAAAAAATATTTTTAAGAAAATGAACAGAGAGTGAACTATGACGAAACTTCAAGAGGCCTGGTGTAACTGGAATCCCTGAAAGCAAGATGTTCAGAGAGGAGACGGAAACAATATTTGGAGAAGTAATGTCTGAAAAATTTCCAAACTCAACAAAAATGATAAGTCCACAGCTCCAAGATCCCAATCAATACCAAGCACAAGAAACATGAAGAAAGTTACATCGAAGCACAACATAATCAAATTGCTCAAAACCAATGACAAGGAGAAAAACTTAAAAACAGCTGCAAGACTTAGAGAATGAACTTAGGGTTGCCTGGAGGAAGGACTGGGAGGAGGGACAGGGAGTTTGGGATGAACAGATACACACTGCTATATTTAAAATGGATAACCGACAAGGACAGTTAAGAGGCCCAGACCACAGAACTGCTGAACAGTTACCAACTAAAAGAGTCGGGGGTGAGTGGCACAGTCAGCATTCGTGTTGCTGAAACCTCAGTCATCACTGGTAGGTGTCCTTTCAACACACCAACCTGCGTGATGAATATTACCATTTAAATGGATTCATATTCTTTAAGTGAAAGTGGCTCAGTCATGTCTGACTCTTTGCGACCCCATGGACTCTAAAGTGCATGGAATTCTCCAGGCCAGAATACTGGAGTGGGTAGCCGTTCCCTTCTCCAGGGGATCTTCCCAACCCAGGGATCAAACCCAGGTCTCCTGCATTGCAGGCGGATTCTTTACCAGGTGAGCCACAAGGGAAGCCCAAGAATACTGGAGTGGGCAGCCTATCCCTTCTCCAGCGGGTCTTCCTGACCCAGGGATCGAACCGGGGTCGATTCTTTACATAAATAAATGTATTTTTAAAGAAGAAAAAGAGCAGCCTCCCTCACTCAACTACCGCGCTGATTAAAAGTTTCAAAATATTTTCAGGAAACGATTCTGCTAGTGCAAGTGAAGTCTAACACGTCAGACACCAAACGCATTCCAGATACGTTCCCAAGTCTGATCAGAAATGTCCTTGGTCGGAGGTCAGCCAGGCCCAAGGAACCAGGCTCCGGGGACACAGTGAGTGTCCCGATGTTGACAGGGAGAGAGGCTTTGAAACTGACAATTATCCCACAAGTTTCTCTGAAATTCAGATGCTGGGTAGGGCCAACCAGGGAACAAATGCAGAAACCAAAACGAAGAAAAGTAAAAGTGATGACCGTGAAGCAGTCACAAATGAGGGGACTCGTACCCATCTATCTGAACTCTGCCTGTGAGGAGTCCAGACGGAATGTCCCTTCCATCTCCGAGTGGGAGGGGTGGAGACAGGGAATACAGAGGCCGGCCCTATGCGACCAGCAGACTAGTCAGACTGAGCTCAAGGTTCAGATGGAGCCAGAGAAAGTCGGCCGGGGTCCCAGCTATGTGATATGCTAGCCCTGCAATCTCATGATCCACTTCAGTCTGTACAATGGGTACAACTAATGTGATGTTTAAACAGAAACACGGAAGTTAAGCATCCAGGGCAGTGCCTGCACACAGTAAGTTATCGGCACATGTTTAAAAGGAAAATATATTAGGAAACGTTTTACTGAGGAAACTCCTAATCTAACCCTATTAGAGACAGACCACAGTCCTCACGATGGGCCTCCAGCGCCCCGGCCCGTCTGTATTGGGTTCTCTATGGGCCGGGCGGTGGGGACACAGTGACTTAGAAACACAGCCCCCACCCTTGTGAAGCTCGCAGTGGAAGGCGGAAGACAGATGTTCGTGAGGTAATTTCACACACACATAGCCAGGACCTGCGATAAAGCGCAGGGGGGACAAAACGCAGGATGTGGTCAAACCTGACCTCATGGGGCTCGCGGTGGTCAGGGAAGGCTTCCTGGAGGAGGTGAGGTTTTGAGCTTCAATCTGAAGGGCAACAGATGTCCACCAGGCTGGGGGGTACAGGAGGAGGAAAGGCGAGAGCCTTCCCAGAAGGAGACACCACATGTGTGTCAACCACAGGTCAATAAACGTGAAGCGAATGTCCTTGGAAGCGTCTCCCAAATGGGCCTTCAGATAATGAGGAGTCATGAGGAGCTTGTGGCCAAGGGGACAGGGGCTGGGCTGGTGCTGCCCCAGGCGCCAGGAAGGCAGTTTCAGGTGAACACAGGGTTTTCTAACAATTAGCGTGGACTGCCTCAGAGGTACCAGACCCTGGTCACTTAATCATATTCCAGCAGAGACCAGAGGGGCCTCCAGCAGAGAAGCTACTGCAGGACAGGGGCCCTAGGGAGCTTGAGCAGGCGGCTGATGACCGCGAGGGCGAGAATTCCGCTGACCGCTTGGAGCTGCGTCCCCTGCGGGACATACGAGGTACCTGAAATAGACTGCATTTCGTCCCAGTAATGGTCTAAATTTCATACTCCCCTGGGCTTTCCTCCACCCAAACTCTTGTTTGCCAATGTGTGTTACACATACAGTTGAAGCACGATTTGATTTCAGGTAGAACAGGATGTACATTTTTAACACAATCGTTTGTATTTATTTTTAGAGTGATCTATGTGTGGTGAGTGATTCTGGTTTCCCATTTAGAGTAGGGATCAAAAGCTTCTTTTAGAATACACTTAAGTTTATAGAATGAATCAATTTAGAGAAACATTAAGTTAATAATAGTGCCAGGGGGCAAGTATACAGATATGGTAAAGCTGGAATTTTTTTTTTTCCCTAGAAAGTGATGCTGGGGAAAACACTGTCAAATCCAGATGGGTTCATTTTCGGGCCTACAAGTTCCCATGCAGCTGTGTGGAAATCATCCATCACCCAAGAAGAAACAGCCAGCGACAACCCGTGTTCCTTGAAGTGGGACCCACCCCAGAGACGTTACACACACATGTGAGTCTAAGGTTACCTGCAAAGCCAGGTCACCTGGGCAACCACACAGCTCACCTGGCAAGAGAGGGCTAGGGCAGGTGGGCACCCGGCCTAGGCAGCAGGCCGGCCATAAGCTCCAGTGGGAGGTTCTATTTTGACTTCTCAGGGAGTTGTCCTGACACTGTCAGGTCAGCCTCTAAATACCCACTGTGGTTCCAGTTAGGACCCTGTCCACTGCTGCCAGGGGTCCCGGGGGGC